GAAAGAAAAAGGAAAAAGGAAAAGAAATAATATAGTCTCTCTATATATATATATATATATATATATATATATATATATAGGCTTCTCATGCATGAATATATGTATATACAGTTTTACACAATCATGTCAGTAAAGAATGACCATATTTCATTACAATCCTCCATCCATAATCTTCATTTGTAAGCAACACATTCATAAATTGGAAGCAACATCAGGTGAACCAAGTTTTTTTAAGTATTGAAAAAATAAGTATAGTTACAGTACGAAAGATTGTTTTCTTTACGAACATAGAAAACAGTGCTCCAGAATATTAGAAACGGCTTCTTCTTTTTTTAAACATAAAAAGCAAGTCCTTATTGCTGCAAAGTATATCTGATACTGCCCATTTTTGGTCTTATCTCAAAAAAAAGAAAAAAAACCTGAGGAAAAGCTGGAAAAAATAACTTCGTCCTGGGGAGAGAGCTTCAATGTTGTCTGGCTTTTTTCATGGCGGTGTATCATATCCAATGGCCTTTCCCAATGTCCATGGTGATTGGTACCGCATCAGAAACATGCCATGTTGGGGAAGGCAGATAAATTGTAATAATGAAGATAGTTAACTGAGTATCCATACTGAGCACTATCCATCCGGAAATAATATTAGCCATGGGTTTTGCAGGTTATTAATAGATTCATATGAGGCCTGAAATCCCTGCTTGCAAACATCTTCCCTGCCATTGACTTTAGGGTTCATGCAGACCTAACAGCAAATCTTCCCTCACAAAAGCAAGCTAGAGTGAAATGTCAGTTGGGTGGGCCTTGATTCAACAGACTTTGCATTCAACAGACCAGATTTCAGTGGTGATTTAAGTCATTTGTGTCCCTTGACATTGTGGGTATGATATCGTTACACCAATTGATGCAAATGTCGTTATACCAATGACGTAAATTGGTGCAAATGATATAATTTGTGTTATTTGTGTAATGATGCCATCGTGCTTATGATATAAATAGCCACAATTTTATTTTTTTTTGCATTTAATGGACATTTGTGAATAACGGACACTCCTCCCACCCAGTTAAAATGAAGTTTCACTGTAATACCCAACCAGCTCTTCCTAGAAGTGGTTCTCGGCAGGAGGACAGGAGAAATTGATAGGTTCTTGTTGATTCCTCCTGTCTTCTTTTTGCAAAGATGCAACTCATTTGATCCAGCTTTCCCCTTTCAGGGCTTGCATGATAGCTACACATTCAGGAGCTGGGAGGAGAGGTTTCCTCCAGTGTGCAAGCAGATTGCCTGCCAGCCCTGTTGAGCTGCAGCATTTCCAGCTAAAAATCATATTTTGAGTGGTTTCTCCTGTCCAGCCAGTGATCTAAAAGGAAGTTGGCTCAACTGCTGAAGAGAAAGAATGGAATATACACTATTAATCTAGTTGTGGATTAATATTATATGGATTTTTTAAAGTTTTAGATTAGTTTTATCACTATTGTTATAATAGCGTTACATCACTAACCACTATTTTACACTATTATATTTCCTTTGTTCCTTTATTTTCTTTGTATCTTTCTTTCTTCTTTGTTTTCTCAATTGTTGTGATTATGAAGTTATGATCTTTTAGTTATGCCATGGGTGTTTTAATGTTTTTGTTATATTATATACAGTGGAAGCCACCAAGAATCTTTGGTTGGGGTGGTTATAAATCTAAGAAACGAACAAATTCTATGTACTGTAATGTATTCCATGCCTTATTTGGTATGAACAGAATTGAATGGATGTTCCACCATTTCCGTTACCAATAAAACATCTCATGTGTCACTTTCAACACCTCCTTTGTTTTTGGCATTCTTTCTTGTAGGTCCATCTGCATGTGCTTGCAATGGATCAAGTCTTCCATCCATCGCTCTTTCACTTCATTCAAAGACAAGCAAAAATAAAACTTGGCCATTTAACAGTGAGTCCAAAGGTCATCAGCCACCATTTCCGCAAATAGTACAAGAACCAGACTGTCACCCTCCTGACAAAAACTGTCCGAACAATTGGCCCAACAGCACATTAATAGGTGAGAATTAAAATTAATCCTGGTCTATGGGGAGGAACAGTACATTCCATTTTAATTCATTCATTAAGAGAACCACTGGAAATGTAATATCCATTTTATTGTGCTTGGTTTCCCATGCGCTAAATCATAATATAGCTTATTTAGTTGTGGTTTAACGTATTACACAACCTCAGTGTGGTTATAAATTATAGTTTATAGCTTAATCGGGGTAAAGCCAGCCAACTGTGGATAGAAGCCTGGCTAAGAACAATGTGTGAATCGCATGGAAGAAAGGACAAAGCTGTGTTCATACAAAATACTAAGCCAGGGTTAGTACAACATGGCTTATTGAATCAAATGCCATTGGCTAGTTTTACCAGGGGTTTGATGGCAAGACTGATGCAAAGCAGCAGCTGTGGCTCTCTTGTTTGGAAAATATAAAATCCAGTTGTTAAGGTCGGTTCTGTCTGTCTCCGTAGTTGAGAAACAGGTCCTTCAAGAGGTGGAAAATGGTGCCAACTTAGAATTGCAGTCACTGTCTTCCTGCAATCTTTTAGGTCCCCGTCCCCAAGCACAATGATGCAAAATGTGTGTTGTGACATCATGATACACCTCTGCCATTTGTACGTGCCTCATAAGATCAATTGCAAGTAGCTAACAGAAGAGTTTGTATTGCAATGCACGTTTTGGCCCTCGTCCCCCTGAAAGTGCCTGGGATTCACCTCACCCATAAAATGGTAGTTTAATCCCAGAAACATTAAAAAAAAATGCATTATAACACAAGATACCACACAACACTGTGTATGAGTGTATGTATAGGAGGGGCATACAGATCAGGCCTGCCTGAGGCATGAAGGCCGGCTGGGAGACTTTGGGCCAGTCACTCTCTCTCTCTCAGCCCAACCCACCTCACAGGGTGGTTGTTGTTGTAGGGAAAATAGGAGGCAGGAATATTAGGTATGTTTGCCACTCTGAGTTATATCTAAAAAGTGTGGGATAAAATAATAAATAAATAATAATATGTTTATTATTAATAATATGCCACCTTGAGATGTCCCAGGTCCTTGAGAAGGACTCGATGGGTGGAAAAATGCCAAATCCAGTCTAAACATCTGGATGACTGTGCAACCGACCATAACAATAATCTCTATTTTAGGAGGGCCTTTCAGTTATGAATTGTCTAGGGAAGAGAGAGGTCTTCCCCAGTTGCAAATTCTCCCACACAGAATGGTTTGTGAAAGGTCTAAGAAATGTCAAACACTTGCAGTTTCATGATGTTTGCTCCACTGCATTCCAGGTCCATGCTGCAAAGAGAAAAACTGCTCCATCCTAGCCCTCGAGCGAGAAACCATCTTGAGCTCGATGACCGAAGGGCGTTTGAACCACCTTTTGGACGTCTTGCGTTCCCAGCAGCTCTTATCCAAGGTGGATTACGAAATGATCATGTCGCTCCCGACGTTGACTGGCCGGACCCGGGCTTTGATTGACACTTGCCTGGGTCTGGGGGAGAAGGCTGCCGAGACGGTGGTGGGTGTATTGTCCAGCAGAAGAGGCAGCCTTTCACTGCAAAGGCTCCAGATAAACCTGGTGAATTAAACCCTAAGTCTCAATGCGGTTTGCACTGTGGCTTCATCAATCCAGCCATGGAGGGGCGCCTTGCGTTACTTTTCAGAAATGCTCATCCTCTTAAAATAAATAAATAAATACCTGGATTGGATGAGGAGAACGGGCTGCCCACTGCCTGAAGGAAAAGCATCCGTGTTTCCTATTGCTGGCATGACACTGGCCTGTTTGGGCTCTAAAGGCCCTTGCTTTCCCTCGAAGACAGCCGAGCACAGGGCTCTCATTTTCAGACTGTGCAAAAGTGGATTGCGGAGCTGCGGGAAATAAAAAGGCATTTAAGGGCAGGGCTTTCCCAGTTACCCATTGGTAGCAAAGGTGATGTCGCTAATGGCTTCAAGCAAGCTGTAAGGCAGATGGTCCATCTTCTGGAGCAAAGTATACGTCTGGTTCTCTGCACCTGAAATCAAGGCAGCGTGAAGCAAGAGAGATTCAGAATTCAGATCCTTCCCAAATGAGGCATGTTGATGCTCAATACTCAACTGGGATTACTAATCTGCAATGGCTCAGAGAATAAGGGGAAACTATGTTGATCATCTCACGCTTGTGAAGTTAAGCAGGTTTGATGCTGGGAGATCTCCTGAAAGTTATGTATGAACTAATTATTTAAAGATTTGTGTGTTATCTTTCAGTAAATGTAAACATACACATGTAAAAAAAAATGGTGTCCATTATTTTTATTTCCAAAATTGTACAATTAAGAAAATAAACTCCAGTCTGGGTTCATGCATGTTATTCAGCCAATTTTCTTTAACCATGATTTTTCTGAAGAAACCACAATGGACTGGGTTTGCCAAAGAAAACCCAAACCATAAACCATAGCTAACAAACCACAAAGTTGGTGCTAGACCCAATTCAAACTAATTGCATTATGCCCTAATGTGTTATGTTTTAGTTGAGTTGAGTTTATGGTTTATTGATTAGTCAAATGGCCATATCACATCTAATGTGTTGTGTGAACCAGGTCTGATAACTGGATCCAGGCTAAGTTAGTTGCACTGAGGTCCTTTGATAACCACCAGAAAGTTCATCATTGCCTAAAACGAAACCCACTGATTGAAATGAGAACTAAATGCCAACTGGATCTGAAACGTAATAAAATAACTGTAACCGAAAGGTCATTGAACTCTTAAAAAAGAATTTCTTTAAAAAGAAGACTTCAGGATAAAAATATTGCATATGACAACTTACAAATACAATAAAATAAAATTGTATAAATGAGGCAGGATAATTGCACAATAATTGTTTGGAAGTAAGCTGCCATGGTAACCTGAAAGCCATTGTGATGTAGTGATATAGGTCCTGGATTAGGAGTGGGAAGACCCAGGTTTTAGTCCCCCCAGAGCCACACAAGCTCATTGGCTGACTTTGGATCAGTCCCTCCCTCTCAGCCCAAGAGCCAATCAGGTGTAGCGGGGAAGGTGCTGGACTGGGAGTGGGGAGACCCAGGTTCTAGTCCCCACAAAGCCACAGAAGTTCACTTACTGACTTCGGGCCAGTCCCTCTCTCTCAACATTATTGTTGGGGTGAAACAAAAAACAAAAAAAAGGAAGATGGAAATAGTTCCTGGAACAAAGAAGGATACAAATTTAACAAATGAGTAAATCCTGAATAAATGTCAAAAATGTTGAGAAGGATGGTGAACTGAAGAGGGTATGCATGTCCATGGGACATGAAGGAGTAATGCTTTACCCCATAAAATATTAAATTGTAGCAAATGAAGTTCTAACACGTGATAGAAGGAATGTTGGAAGTCCTTCCCTTTTAAAGCCTTTTTTAATCGCTCTGAGCCACACCATTTCTAAACCTCTGCCGATTTTTATAAATGTAGACTGCCTGGTGCAATTCAGTGCGGAACTGTTTCGTATTATATTAATGGGCACTATAAATGGCTTTGGTTTTGCATTTATTTCTCTTTCATTATTGGGACTCATGTATTTAGCAACTAAAACACCAAACTTCAGCAAAAGACCTTTTTTGCACTGAATTCCAGGAGAAAATCAGCAGATGTCTGGAGGTAGAAAATGCCCCACGGGGGGGAAAAAAACTTTGCTGGCACAGGGAGAATCACGATTGCATAAATAGAGCCTCCAAAGTTGTTAAACAGTATTTCTAAAACAGCATTGCCACATCTGGTGCCCTCCAGATGTGTAGAACTTCCAACTCCCACCGTTCTGCCTGTAGGTAGAACTGAATTCTGCAACATATTTGTAGGGGAAGGCTAGCAAAGATATCACTGAATTAATACTATGTGGCAGAGTGCAGATGTGTAACTCTTGTTTTCATGCTCATATTTATCACCGGTTATACTTTCCTTCAGGGTAGCTAGTCCAAATTTCTGAAACCTCCATGTTCCTATCAAGTTGGAACTTCTTAGATTGCTGCAAGCAATTATTTCAATATGCAAAATATTGAATATTTAATAATATTTTAATAATATAAATATTATATAATTACATTATGATTATAATAAAATATTGGAAAAATGCCTTTGATTGTGATACCAAACCCATCATCTTGCAGATTTTGACACACGCCCACACCCCAGCTGCCCTGTAGTTCGTTGAGCGAGTGTACAAGGGAGGGAAGGACTAATGTAAAAAGAAAGATTTTTAACTCAGATATTCTCTTGTTAGATTTAGGAATGCTGTGATCATCAAAAGTACTTTCCCTGGAGGATCACCCTTGGCACATCCATGTCAACCCACATCCTTTGAAAATGGCTTGTGATTACCCACATGGCAGCCATTCTTGAAATGCAGAGAACTCCAACTTTCTTCCAGCTGACTAATCACCAATAAGGAAGCATAAAAAATGAAGAACTCAGTCTACCTTGTCTTCATTCTTAACTCATGTTGGCTGGTTTTTCCCAAACTGGCTACTCCTCTGCTCCCCTCTGTTTCTTTGAAGAAGTCAACAGCATCTTGTTAGTCACACATGGCCAATTTTGCAGTGGTTAACACTAGTACTTTGCAGAACCTCTGTTTCACCCCACCCTTCTTCTCAAAGCTGGAGAACCAACTTGAATAGGGCATGGGGTCCCCAAATGGTTCCCCAGCTTTGAGAAGAAGGTTGGGGTGAAACAGAGGTTCTGCCAAGTACTAGTGTTAACCACTGCAAAATTGGCCATGTGTGACTTCAACAAGATACTGTTGGCACACCCCGCATTTTATAACAAACCATGTTGCTGGCAAAGAGTTGGCAGATGTTACTGCAACAGTACAGCGGAACATTTTCCTGAAAAAAGAGAAAGCAGGAATTTACAATTCTTCCTATTTTGGCACTAAAGCTCAAACCAGGTTGAAGGTCTTTGTGAGGCACTGTATGGAATCTGACATGTTCTCTTCTTTTTCTTTATGAAAGGTAATGCCATTAGAATTAACAAATACATTCAGTTATGGATAAAGAATATGAGAAGAAGAAGACTACAGCCAAAGGGGTTATATGGTGCTTGATCCCCCACTCTTTTTTTTTTTTAAACACACATTTTTAAAAGTTTCTAGCTTTTTTTGATTGTGAAACCAAACATTATTTCCAGCCATTGGGGTCATTCCCTATTCATGTCAGACCAAGTAGTGATCTTGATTGAGTCGCTTAAAATTAAAAGATCACTTGGAAATTAACCTGAATCTTATCATTAACAGAGGGAAAATATACTAAATGCCAACATGAATAGACCATTACTTTTTTTTTTTAAATTCTATAAAATTACAGATCTTTCACTATTGTAGAAATGACATATTTTATCTTCAGATGGCGGTAAATCTATCAGGAAAGTTGCTTCTTAAGAAACAAATACAGTGGTACCTCTACTTATGAACGCCCCTACTTACGAATTTTTCG